ATTTGACTCCCAAAGGTGAAAAAAAAAGATCATATCAAAGAGAGGAGCCACTTCTAACAGAAGGTCTCTATAGACTACTGTAAAGTGAGTTCAGTCCTCTTTCCATCTTGTGTGTTTGCAGCCATATGCCTGGATGTACATGTGCGTGTGTGCCTGAGTCTCTGCAGACATAACTGTGTCAAATGGCAGTGAATCCAGCCTAAAGTGTGGAAGTGGGAGAGGAGGGGGGGGGGTTCTCTTTTCTTTGCTGTGGCTCTGCTGCGCTGTGAGACTCATAACTGCTGAGAGGATTTCCATAGCAGAGAGGAAAAGTGCTGGCTGGAATAGTGCATTACCGCCACACTCAGCCAACTAACATTCACGCACATTTTCAAAACCATTCATTATTCATTACTCCCCGCTGCCTTCAGCAGCCCAAACTCAAAGTGTTGCGCTGAGAGCTGAACGGAAGCATGTTCTGGTTTCAACATGCGGGTCTGACCCAGGAGTACCGACCGCTTCAGGGGAATACTTTCAGCGCGCAAGAATATTAGGAGCTCATTCTTAAGAGTGAACTCCAAATATCCTCAGTGCTTGTTTAGTGCATTTCTAAGTTTAGAAGTCTCTTCATAACCTGCATCCTGCACATTATCTATGGTTTCCTGAGTGAGTAAGCAGAATGAATAGCAATAATGAGCAATGAATCACGGCTTTCACTCGGTGGGTGTGTACCAAATTAAAAGCCAAATCCATGAGGTTGTTTCCAGAAAAATATACAAGGAACTGCACAGGTGTTGGAAGATAACTTAAAATAAACCAAGCTTTGCCATCCTGAACTCAGAAATCAAGTTATTCTAAGGTATTACAGCCCACTGTGAAGCTAAGGTAAATGATAAATCAAAGTGAAAACTGGCAATCCAGAGTAAATTACATGATTACATGCTCTAAATTTTACATTAAAATACATGAGTATTTACATCTGTGCAGTCTGGAAAACACAACTTGCACAGAGAACATTTGCTATGAATGTAAAATGAAGGAAAACCTGAGCGAATAAGTGGATTGTGGGCTGTTTGAATGAAGTTGGTATCATATTATTACACATTCACACAATGCATGAATGTTACAATAAATGTAGAATTGTATCTGCTTTACAGAAATTATGCAGACAAATAATAATAATTCAAGTTTTGGGGCAGTCTCTATAATCTCCCTCCTTGCTGGGACATCAACATCTGTCTGTCTCAGAAGTCTGTGACCTTGAACAGTCGCCCCCCTCCTCCCATCCCTCCACCCCCACTCTGTATTCACAGACACAAGTGGAGCAACAGTAGATTTGGAGCTGAATAGCGCATTAAGAGAAGAAATGCACACAATAAATGCGAGTAATGCGACTGAACTTGCCTGTCAAGCTTCTCAGAACACATTCCACTGTATTTACACCGAAACACCGAGGGAGAGAGAGAGAGAGAGAGACAGGGAAGGAGGGAGAAAGAGAGAAATGTGCAAAAGTAGTCTTGCAAATGAATATGTTTGCAGCAAAACCCAGAGATATTCACTAGATTGTGTGTCCACCGCACCTTTAATTACCAATTATTTAACCCTGTGTTACGCTCATTAGCAACAGCCCACGAAAACACCTCACCAACACCACCTGCGCGCTCCCCTGCGTTCTCTTATTAAGTAAAAAGTATTTGGCGCACGATTTGGAGAGCTGTGGCACATCGCTGCTTTGACCAATGATTTCCCCTCATCCAGTCAACTTTCCCGACATCAAGGAATGTGGGTGGCATTCATGCATTTCGCCCGGCAACGCTTCTGTGTCTAATGACAGAATGAAATGCAACAAGAAAAAAAAAAAAAGAAAAAAACCCTTAAACCCGCCTCGTTTCTCAACAGCAGCTGCAGCTTACCTGCTCCGTGCAGGACGTCGAGGGCGCACGGACGTTGGATGTGAAAGCTTCGTTTAATGCCTTCAAACCGCGCTCCCAAAAGCGGCACATAGCAACAGAAATTACCCCTGCTCAGCTCCAGGTTCCCCCCACAGAGCAGCTCTTATATTCAGCTTTCGTCGGTCAAACGTTGGAAAACGCGCCATCGTGCGGCCGGCTGGAGCGCGCAATTCAACAGGTGCACGGAGGGAGGGACGGGTCGGGCTGCGTTCAGGAACCGTCAGGAAATATAGAAAGTAAAGGGTGACATCTGTGACCTCATAAAATAACATAATCTGGGCCTTAATGATCAAAATGTTGACTAAATAAGCATCCACTAGTTTGTCTTGAATGGTTTTGGTTGCACAGAAGCCCTCATGCAAAAATATGCTTTCACCATTGATTGTGTGAGCTAGTCAACCCTTTTTTTTTCTTTCTAACAAATGAACTCAAACATCATTCACATATTTTCCAGTTACAGCCGGTGCTGTCTGTGACTGCTGCATAGAAAGAGAAAGCTAGATGAGGCCTAATGACTCCATGGCTGCATTCCAAACCAGAGTTATCCTTAATCTCTTCTCCCAGCTCATACATACTGCTTAATGCCTACTTGAGTGCCTCAATGGCAGCAAGAAGAAGGAAATCTAAAGGCCTGAGGTAAATGTTAATGGCTCCCTGTCTAAGATCAAATGCTGCAGTACAGGAGTAACTCAGGGCTGGGTGAGAGCTTCCTTCCTCTTCATCCTTTATACTAATGAATGCAGATGCAAACAACCAAACAACTACATCTTCAAATTCTTCAACAATACAAAAGTTTCTAGGTCTTTTATGCAGAGAGACTAATAACCTTCAAGGACTGGTGTTAGAGTCACCACCTCATTCTGAATGTAAGCTAAATAAATAAGTTATATTTGGCCCCAGAAAGGTGCCAATCCACGACCCTGTGATCATTCACAACAATGTGAGTGAGTAGATAAGCTCATACAAATAACTGGGGATCCAGACAGACAGGCTTTTAAAATGTTGGCTATTTTTGTGCGCGGTTTGCTCAAAGACATCACTTTATCGGCAGACTGAGATTATTTGGTGTTATAACACATATCATGGTTAGATTCCACAATGCAGCAATGGAGAGTTTAAAAGATATGGCCTCATATAGCAGTTAAAGAAAAAAAAAAAAGAGAAATAGCTCAATTAAAACAGCATTTAAATGACTGGGAAGGGAAAACACCCATCTCCTAACATCATGTATGAAAAAACTGTTGTCAGATATGCCAACAAGATCCTGAAGGACCCCTCCCACATTTTATTTTCAGATTACAAACTACTACTTTCAAGTAGATGTTGGAGAGTCTGCAAAAAACAAGACCTGCTTTATTCCTGTTTCTATCGCACTGCCCAACAATCAATCTGAACTCCCTCCTGATATGTCTGGCCATGCATTTGATCTAAAAATTTGATCTCTGGATCGCGATCTTGTTCCATTATTTATCTGGTTTATGCAAGGTGCAACATGATGCTCTTACAAGTGCAATATGTATGTAGATTTGCACATAGTAGATATGTTTGCACATATATGGATGTACATATATGCATGTTTTAGGAAGGAATGTTTTTGTACATAGTTTTATATATGTATGCCTTTCTCTGTGCCTAGCTGAGTTTTTTATTATTATTATTGTGTTGTCTGTAGTTCTGAGCTGTGTGATTTTTACAACTGCCCAAGGCAAGCTTCTCTTTAGAGGAAATAAACTTGATCTTATCCTATTACATTTGGGAGTATTAGTTATTGGTCGGGCTAAAATAATCACAGTAGGTTATATTTAAAACATACTGAACACTATGACTGATGACTTACCATTAGCAGTAGTAGTAAAGATGGTCGTGACAGTCGTGTTACTTAAATAGTTATAATAATACAAAAATCACAATCATTGTGGCATTTATACATTTATGCATTTATTTATTAATAACTTAAATGTCTCTATTGATCTGTCCATGTGATCGGTAGGTGGGGGTATTTCTACGGTATATTTCCTCAGGCATCCTCACGACCCCATTAAAGTGAAGCTGGAAAATATGTGCGCAGCTTCCAGCGTGTCAGGCCAATACAAATAGCACGGAACTTTCAAAATAAAAGCATGAGATTGGTCACCTGTATGGAGCTTTTGATGAGTCAGTGAACCACATGAGAAGTATTTGTGAATTGCTACGCGTAATTGCCATCTGTAAAATACATACCATAAATCATATTCTGTCAGGGAGTCATAGCGGTGGCCAGATGGCACACAAAAAAGCCAGAACCATGCCATCAATAATGTTACTGCTACAAATATTTTGCTGTACAACTCACACAAAAAAAACTTGATATGACTGAAAACATTTTCACTTTAGTTAACTAATCAGAGTTAGACTAGATCAGATAGCTTTAGAGATGGTCATATTCATCTTGCTGCTGTCTGATGCTGCAGGTATTTAATCAACTCAGAGGGAAGACTCTTGCAAACAGCTGGAAGCAAAAAACTTGAGGTCTGTGTGAGAGAATCTGTCAGCTTAAGGCACAAACTTTGTAATTTATGCTGTCTTGTCCTCGGAAAACTGTATGTGCACTCACTGAAACTTGGATGTCAGAGTTCCAGTGAATGACTGATCAGAACTGGGGCGGCAACAGGCCCCCTGGCCCTCCTGGAGATGCCTTTAATTTCTTGATGAAATATCAAAAAACATCTCCTTATATTTTCACAGATGCAGAAATATAAACAACTTTAAATCATGTTTTCTACCTTTGCTGTGTCTCTATTTTGCATGACCTATATGGCCAAATTGCTTGTACTACTGCATGGAAATCCTGTTTGCCCAATCAGTGCTGCATTATACATATTTATATTTACAGTCTACAACAAAACATGTGTTGCAAATTAATCAAAAAAAGGTTCTTTGCTACCAATTTTCAAATCAGTAGTTATACTTATTGTTATATTTTGAATTCTCACCGGTTGTTGCAGGCTGCTGTGGGTGTCTTGACGTTCAGCAGACCACCGGTGATGGACGGTACAAGCTAATATACAATCTTCTTCAAGGCTCATATCGCTTGCAGAAACGTTCGAGGATGCTGGTAGAGTTCACACAGACCAACAAACCAACTGCAGTCTGCTACGAGTCATTTTTTTTTTGCCAGGTGAGACGCTACTACAGCTAATTTTAGCCATTTTTCTTTGCTAGCATCCCCTCCGAGCCTATGCAAATTAGCCTCAACAATGACAGCGTCCAAAGCTAACGTGGGAGCTTAAAGTAGCTCTTATTTTTAGGTCACACAGAGTAAGCAAAATTAAGCAGACAATTCCCACAAGGAAACATTAGTCCAGCTGTTGGCGTAATTACTAATTTGGGATGAACTCTGAGTACTTCTTACTTGTTCAGTACCTGATGCTGTTCTCTTTGTTGTTTACAGTCTGATGTGTTTCTCTCCTCAACACTCGTGAAATGACAGAACAAGTCTCTTTATTTAATGAGGTTGGTGTCAGCTCTGCTTCCATCACACGTTTTTTTGGGCTTCGCTGCCAAAATAAATCACACATGTACTTACAGCTCCAGCCGCTGCAGCAGCAGGAGGAGGAGGACAGACACTGAGGGGGCGGAGGACAGAGCCGGCTTCTCCCCATGGCCACCGCGCGTTTCCCCGGGAAGAGTGCGGACGTGGCCGCCGCCAACTGGAGCGCTCCGGCTCTGGGCAGGCCGCTGTGTGTCAACGGCACCCCGTGGATCCTCTACCTGCTGGAGGAGTGTGTGGATAACATCTGGGAGTACTGCAGCGTGGTCATAGGACTTATATCCATGTTCTGTTTTTTGCTGTCCACCTTGCCGTAAGTAATGGTTTTAGTGTTGTCCAGCCTAATTAAGACATTTGAGATGACTGAGATTCAACTTCACTGTCATTGCACACAATATAAAACAATGAAATGAAGCTTAGCATCCAACCAGAAGTGCAAAAAAGCAGCAAAAGTACAGTGTGACTGTGCTGAGAGATATACAGTATTAGCAGTATTCACAGCACGAACTGTCTAAATAGTGCATGAAAGTAGTGAACAGTACTGTGAAAAGTATTGCCCCCTACAGATATCTCCTATTTTTACATATTTGTCACACTTAAATGTTTCAGATCATCAAACTAATTTTAATATACCACAAAGATAACCCAAGAAAACATAAAATGCAGTTTTTAAATGATGATTTGATTTATTGAAGGACCAACACTGTCCAGCCCCACCTTGCGCTGTGTGAAAAAGTAATTGCCAGAGTCATTTGGTAGATTGGTACAATTTCACCACCAGTCACACTCACATATGATCACTGCCAGGCTTGTTGAATCTAAACATCACCTAAATAGAAACTGTCTGGCATTGTGAAGGAGGCTGAAGGGTCTCAAAAAGCAGCACATGATGCCGTGATCTAAAGAGATTCAAGAAACAGATGCGAAACAAAGTCATCGACATATATCAGTCTGGACAGGATTACAAAGCTATTGCTAAGGCTGTGGGACTCAAGCAAACCACAGTGAGAGTCATTATCTACAAATGGAGAAACCATGAAACAGTGGGGAACCTTTCCAGGCCAGCCTACCAAAATTTATCCAAGAGAGCGTTGACTTCTCATTCAGAAACTCAAAAAAGAACTCAGAAAAATGTCAACAGAACTGCAGGCCTCACTTGCCTTAGTTAAGGTCAGTGTACATGACTCAACAATATGGAAGACACTGGGCAAAAATGGCATTTGCAGAAAAATATCTAAGATGACCCCCAAGACTTTTACGATAGCATCCTGTGGACTGATGGGTCAAAGTTAATCCTGATTGATACCGAACATGGTGGTGGAAGTGTGATGATTTGGGGCTGCTTTGCTTCAAAAGGACCTGGACGACTTGTCATAACTGATGGAGCCATCTATTCTGCTCTCTGAGAGAAAATCTTCCTGGAAAATATTCGCCCATCAGTTCATGACCTAAAGATCAAGCTCCAATGGGTTAGGCAGCATGACAAGGACCTAAAGCACACAAGCAAGTCCACCTCTGAATGGCTCATAAAGAACAAAACTAAGGCCGTGTCAAAGTCTGGACTTCAATCCTATTGAGATGCAGTAGCAAGACCTTAAAAGGGCAGTTCATGCTCGAAAACTATCTAATGTGGCCAGATTAAGACTATTCTGCAAAAGAGAGTGGGCCAAAATTCCTCCGTGATGATGTAAAATACTGATCACAAGCTTGTTGCTGCCAAGTGTGGCCCAACCAGTTATTAGGTTTAGGGGGGAAATTACATTTTAACAAGGGTGATAGAGGGTTTCAATGAATCTTTAATAAATCATCATTTAAAAACAGTTTTTTGTGTTTTGTGGGTTATCTCTGTCTAATATTAAATAAATATAATTATTAGTTTGATGATCTGGAACATTTAAGTGTGAGAAATATGAAAAAATAGAAGACATCAGGAAGGGGGCAAATACTTTTTCTCACCACTGCATAAGTAATAAATGTAGTGTGTGCACTACAGATAAAGAAAACATGAATGAAAAACCATAAACAGAGTGGTATGAACATGATAAGCATATAAATAGATTAAACTGTAGATCATGTCATTGTGCTTGATCAATAACAATGTAAAGATAGGTAAATGTAAAACTAAAGATAGGGATAAATGACGGTATGAACAGTGGATAAAAGATGCAATATACAGTATATGCAATATATACACAAAGAAAACAATGTAGTGTGTAGTCTGTATATAATGCATTGTTAAAATTAAGGTTAATCTGTCTGTCTATCTATCTAGGCAGGTCTATGAGGCCTACAGGAATGGTAAAGTAGAGGAAGCCATGTCTTTTGGGTTCCTCTTCTTCCTCTTCAGCGGAGACCTGACCAGTTTTGCAGGCTGCTACCTCACTAGCCAGCTGCCAATTCAGGTGAACACACATGACACAGCCAGGCTCATTTTCATCTGTTCGGGTCGAGTGGCTTTACACTTGGTGTGAACTCTGTTAGTGTTCTTTGGTGATGTTAGATGTTTCATTTAGCCAGCAGAAATTTGCTGTCTTGTCTCTGCACTTGGTGAGTTATTACATTAGAGACAAGCTGTGCACAGGCCTTGTTATTGCTAGAGGCTTTTTGACATGTTTGGATTTGTGCTGCTAATGGTGTGTCTTAAACCGTCTATGTAGTTCACTTGAAGTTCATTTACGCTACTTCTGGCTGTCTCATTTAAAGCAATGAACATCACACATTGTTGGAGTTAATTGCTTTGACACTGCGCTTTGATAGCATAACAAGGAATCACAACTACAGTCATATAAAGGTCCCACACTGTGCCTCTTTTCAGCAAATTAATGAAAATCTTACATGTTCCTAGAGTTTGTCTTTCAAATTTTTCAGTTCAAAATGATTAAAAGATGTATTGTTTTACCATGACTGTATAACCTCTGGTTTAAGGCCTGTTCTAAATGGACTGTTTAGGTTGCAAAAAAACACACAGTAACCCACTTGGTCCTTGTTTATTTGTTTCAAATCATTTTAAAGTTTTAACTATCTCTGAATGTCCCCCTGTGGCCATACAATATAAGCTAATGGTAACGTTAGCCATATTATCCTGACAACATGCTCAGCTAAGTATTTTTCTATTGTGGTGTTGGCATTGTCATCAAAAATAAAGATCATCCACTGGATCCTCAGTGCTTTAGATGCTGGGAGTGGATGGAGACTCTTGTATTCACTCTTGCAGCCAACAGCAGAGCATTTTGTATGCTCTGCTCGTGACTGAGACATTTTAAAGTTGGCAGAAGCAGCTCTAGAAACAATTAGACCTAGCTAACCATAAAGCAGCTTCCCATTCTGAATGGTTTATGTTTGACGAGCTTCTAAAGCTGAGAAGGCATCTAGTGAAGAGGTGGCTTGAGGAATGGCAAAAGTAGACACCTTATATTCTCTTAGCTTTTACTATACAAGTTTTTAAGACATCCAAACCACAACAAAGGTGGACTTTCACCTTACAGAGACTTCACAGCTCGTAAAGGTGTATCTGTCACAGCCTGTATTGTACATGTAATGATATCCTGCTTTATCTTTTTCTCTCTTCCTGTCTCACTCTTAGGTAGTCACAGTGGTGTTTTACATCTTCACAGACCTGATCCTCATCTCCCAGTTTCTCTACTATAAGATCAAAAACAGCTCTAGCAGAAGTAAGCCTGGTCTCTGTGCTTATGAATGATGACTGTAGCTTGTGAGTCAACTAAGTCAAAATCCTCCAGAAAGCTCCAGATAGTACAATTATGAGGAAGGAAGTGCTTTCAGTTGTTGACTCAGCAACTTCACAGAAAAAGAGAAAAACAAGGACTTGTCAGTTGTAGGACAGTGTCAGCTTTACAGGTTTAGTGGTAATAAAACAGTCTATATAAATACAGTATATTACTTGTACATAAGGTACCTAAAAATGAAAATCTGCTAATCTGGTACTGTTAGTAATGTTTTACAATTACTCCAGAGCACATAAACACTATCACAAAAATGTGGCGAGGCCTTATGTTTTTTTTTTTTAGTTTAATAATCATGCAAATTTCCCTCAGTCACTAAAGACACTTTCCCACTTTCCTGTAGAAAATCCTGCGTTGAAGTGGATGTGCTTCATGTGGTGTGGTGCTGCTTCATTAGTTCTCCTGGCTTTGCCCAAACTCATCATAGACAATAGTTCAAGCTTAGACACCCAGGTAGGACAAACGTTAATTTACTTCAAACTGGATATTGTGACTGTACTGCTCATTTTTTTGGTACATGGACCCTTTCATTTTTGTCCTACTCTACCTTTTGTTCCCAGAGTCCCGCTACCTCCAAATCGATGGAAATCACCGGCTATATATGTGGATACTTGGCATCTGTTTTCTACCTCTGCTCCCGTTTCCCTCAGCTCTATAAAAATGTAAGTGACAATTTGTTTGACTCACTTGAGATGTGGAGTTGGTATTCTTTTTCTTTTTTGTCTCTGTAGCATAGTTTGTGTGTGAGCAACGCCGCATTCTCAATGTCTCGTCCCAGGAGGTTCATGGAAAGCTGTACTTATTCAGTGTCAGTTAGTCATAAACAAGGACCGAGTTTATGTGTTTGTGCATACTGTATGTGTGTCAAAATGAGAACCAGGCATTGAAGACAATAGTGCTGTTGTGCTGAGGAAACATCCTGGCTCAAATGCAGCTATTAGTCACCAGAGGGGATCGTCCCAGTAGGCTGACAGTGCCAGAGAAACTTCTGGGCACAAAACATACACTCCATGGCTATTGTGAATAATTTAAGTCAGATTTGCCCCATGTTAATTCTTGCATGTTGAAACATGTTTTGTTCCATCAGTATTTCTGCGGCAAACACTTGCTGGTTGCTCAGTGTTGTGTAGGTCCATCCGAGACAGTAATCCACAGGGCATTCACTCTGTTTTTCTAAGTGTACCTTTGGGGACAATTTGAGCTCAGTAGCCATAGCAGAGTATAAAACTTAATTATTCAGTGAAGGTGAAATGAATGGATGCTGTCATTCCTGATTTTTTTTTACGATAGAAAGAAGTGGTGAACATAGCCAGTCTTTGTATTTAAGGTACACTGATGAAACACACTCATACAGTATTTTTTAACAGAATGAATTCATAGCTGGATGTCATCAATCAAGGGATGGGTTGATAGCAGTAAAACACTGAAATAAAACCAGCCTTATCCTTTAATGTTATTGAGGTTGTCTGTTTGTTGAAGTGTGAGTACACTCAAAGCAGATTAATGTGAATGGAACAGAAACGTAGCTTACCAGCTTTCAGCTTGTCAGTGGTTGTGGTTTGCATCAGAATACAACAGCATCATACTAAAATGTAGTCATATCTGCTGATAAAAGGATTAATACTTGCAGTGCTGGTCTGGTTTTCCTTTTTTGCCTGTTAATTCAATACTGTAAACTCTGCTCTAGTTCCAGCGACAGTCTACAGAGGGCACCTCCTACCTGCTGTTTGCCCTGGCCATGATGGGTAATGGAACATATGGGTTAAGCGTCATAGTGGTCCTCCCTGCGCTGAGGGGCTCCAAACAGACCTTCATTATCAAACATCTTGCCTGGCTCATTGGCAGCCTGGGAGTCCTCATACTTGACTTTTTGGTATCCTTTAAATCACAAGTCTAATCAGTGCACAGAGTCAGCTGTACAAGGTTAAGATAATAATAATAATACTGACGTGCAAAAACTTGAATACTTTTACTTTGATCAAATCCAGACATAAACATTACTCACAGTGTTTTTGTACATATCGTTGATTTGAAACAGTCAATGTGCTATTTTGGTTTGTTATTGACGTCACCTGTCATCTGAACTCCGTCTGTATGAGCCTTAACATTTTCAGGTGACTGCCCAATTCATTATATACAAGAAGAACATCCCTGCTAAAGGCAGTGCACTACTCAGCATCCCGGAGGTGGAACCTCTTCTGTGTGAGGAAGAGGAGCTATCAGTATTATAGGACAGAGATCAAACACCAGCATGGAAGGCTTCTTCAAGAACTGACTGTTTGTTTTTGATCAGCCTGTGAGTTCTCAGTGGCCAGTGAACAACTTCAGAGACATTGGTGGACCTTTGCAGAAGGTAGTAGCAGGCATGTTGTAGCACCAGCAGCTCATTCTGGTGCATCTTTATAGTCTGATTTTGTTGCTTTCAAGACTACAAACACAGCGATGAATTCTTCTATGGTGTAGAGGGTTAATAAGGTAGGACAAGCCACACAAATTATATGGTCAATATATTCCTTAACACTCCTTAGTTGCATTTTCACGGTCTCTCTGCTGTCTTGTCAGCATGACTTGAGTCTTTTTCTGGTTATGAGCACTGCCGTTTTTGATTAATTATTCCCCTGGGATTTCTTGGTTTTGTTTTGCATGGAATAACTGTATTTTTATGTGCCATGGGGGAGCCTAGAGGAGAATGCTGAATGCCAGATGTTGTTCCACACATGCAAGCTTCATGGAAGAGTGAAGTGCCTGCTATATTTACACATTTTGACAGGGTAAATACTATCATCGAAGCCTGCACGGGTGAGTATGAATGGCGGAAACCGGAATGAATGGCAGTTTGGAAAGTTTGTGTTCTTATCTGATTTTGCATTTTACTGAAGCTTGACGCAAAGCCGGTATGAGCATGAAATAACAGAAAAAACAGTAATGTCCTGATTTGAAGCTGACAGATAATTTTGTCGAGTCATTTCTCAGTGGCAGTTGTGGCTATAAGGAGAATTCCTCCAGAGATGTTAGATGACTAGACTGACATTGTGTAATGTTAAATAAATAGGATGTAAATGTTGGCTAGGGCCACCCCTTCACTTGAAAGATGTTCTTTTTTTGTCTGAAGCTATATAATGACCTCATTTGTCTTTAAAAGGGATATTGCATTTCTCTATGTTTCTGGTCCAAACTATCTGCTCTAGTGGAGAAAAACTTTGTGCCTTTTTAAGCTTAAAACAGTCTTAATATAAATGCACTGTAAATTATTTTTAAATTAAATTAGATTAAATTAGATTTATAACCAAGTGGTTTATTTATGGCATTGTAGGAAATGCAGTGGAAGCTTTTGTCTTTTTTACCTCCCCAACCCCTGAATCAGATCTGCCCTTCTACATGTTCTGAGTAGTTTTCTTATATAGACATTCTGTTTTGTAATATTTTCATGATATTAAAGAGGACATGACTACTTGATTGTCTGTTAAGAAAAATCGAAGAAAAGAGACATTAATGGGATGTTATTGAGAATTGTTAAAGTATTGAAGTGTAAAATTCGCTCATGCATTTTCTTATCTGGCATGAGGTATACAGCAGAGAGGATAATGCTGCCAAGCCAAATTTATTTTTACAATTTTTCCAATGTAATTTTTCCAGAGTTTAATGCTAAACGAGCACAGCAAAAAGCAGAACAGGCCAAATCATCATCTTATTAATGAGCAGTTTAACTCTGTAGTCAGATTTTTGTAAATGGGTATTTATTTACATCATTACTCTGCTGATATTGTGCCAGATGTTATTGTCATACAGTACGTATGAGGTGCTGTCACTGTTTAACGCTTGAGTAACTAAACTCGTGTACTTGCAGAGATCTGCAGATTTTTCTACCTCATTATGATGTGGACAAGATTTTTATTTTTTTTTCCAAGTTTGCAATAAGAATTATTTTGAATTTGTACACTGTGCTTGTTGCTGGAGAAGTAATTGAGCACACATTGCATTCAAAAATGTATAAACAAAAATAAAATAAAAAATTTCTTAAAACTAGCATTTAATTGTAACTGTATTTATTTATAACAATAGCATGAACAACATCTCTCGGTCAGGTGATGAAATAATGTGGATTTATGCGGACAGAGGGGGATTTCTTTGAACTAAGACCTTTTTTTTGCAAATATGCAACTAGAGTAATTTTTTTTCACTAGTAAATTACGTTTTTGCTAATTATTTTTATATTGCACAATTCCCACTTACTGCTACTCGTCAATTCCTTCTAAATGAGCCTGTTGTACTTTTGCAGTCTAGCACAAAAGTACATATTTGTTGGATATATTGCTGCTGTATGCTGTAGAACTTGTATTTATAACACTCTCGTCTATGTATTTACTATTCCTAAGATGAAGTTATTTTATTTAAGCATAATGTTCTTTTTTTTTTTTGGTAGAGGAATTTAAATGTACATGGCCAGTTATAGTGTAATTCTGAGCTCTGTTCCAGGGTATATTTATCGACAATGCCATCCTGTAATAACTGTTACATATATTGTAAAAGAAGAAAAAACTTGAATAAACTGCATTGTACCCTAAATCATTTAAGATTTTTGTCAGTGGTGCTTCAATGAGACGGAAACAAGTTGTTGTTTTTTTAAGATGGACATTTTCTACAGGAATTAACTTGTAGTAAATACATTAACATTATCATAGTTATGGCCTATAAAATGTATCCATACCATTGGTAGTTTTCTCCTTTTGTTTTTTGTTTTTTACATTAAATCACAGTCAATTGAATTTGCCTTTGTTGATGAGAATTTACAACAGTAGACTTTGATGTGGGGCTTGCATGTTCTTCCCGTGCAGCGTGGGTTCTCTCCGGGTTCTCCGGCTTCCACCCACACAGTCCAAAAACATGTTGAGGTTAATTGGTGATTCTAAATTGTCCGTAGATGTGAATGTGAGTGTGCTTGGTTGTCTGTCTCTAAGTGTAGCCCTGCGATAGACTGGCGACCTGTCCAGGGTGTCCCCTGCCTTCGCCCTAAGTCGACTGGGATAGACTCCAGCCCCCCCGCGACCCTAGTGAGGATTAAGCGGTGTATAGATAATGGATGGATGGGCTTTGATGTGACAGGGAAAACACTTTTCTACCAACTAATGTAGCAATATGGATTTTTCTGTCAATAACATCCTCTTTTGTGTCACCAAATGCCCTGATGTCTTTTGTGATTTCATATCCCTGGATCTTCCTCTATGTTGGGCATATATTATCCCAAAATACTAGAACTTTTTCACATGTCCAAATTATGTGCAAGTGACTACATGCATAGTTCACACTATCTTCAACATTGTTGTTGCGGTTGCAGTTTTTTACTTTTAGTTTAGGATGTAAAAAAAATACATCAAACGTTTCCATCAAATACTGTCCATTTCTTTCAACTTGATGATGAATGTTGTGTGGTCAACATAGAACGCCAGTCATCCTGTTAGTTTTTTCACATTTTGCTTTAATGCACCTGGAATTATTACCTTTCTGTTTGTGAAGACCCTGGTATAATTTAGAGAGAGTTTCAGTTGTCATATGTTTGTGAGCTTCAATCAGAATACATATCACTGTGCTGTCCTCTTCAGATATATATATATATTTTTTTTTTTAAATGACGCTCTTGAATTCTCCCTGTTGAGTTAATGTGTATAACACTGTCACAAAAAGGCCCATCTTTGAGTACACATTAACAAAAAAATTACAAAATTTAAAAGTCAGCTAGTGATATTTTCGCATCCCTGTGTAGCTGCAAGTCACAATAATCCAAAACAAAACACACACAATGCTTCTGATGTGAAATACGTGATCACAAAAATGGAAGAAAAAAAAAGTAATTTTCTTTGAACTTTTAAACTGATTCAGACATAAAAACACACCTAATCCAAATAGAACAGAGTTCTGGAACTTCAAAATGGTACTTTTAGTCCAGCAGCAATCAGATAATCTGTCAGACACTGGTTGCTATCGTGATTCCCACCTTTTCAGTGGTGAAGGGGAAGAAGACAGAGTTTGGGTGCAGAGAGAGGGGAAGACAGGCAGACTAAGGAAAACGGTCAAAGCTCAAAACCTATAAGTCGTATTAAAAACATCATTTCACTATGAAGCACAATCTTGTTTTGAACAAGCTGATAAATTTTTATGTATGTACTGTGTATTATACAGATTTGATGGCTGGTTAGAGAGACCCTCCATCTCAGCACAGATATAATGGATGTCAATGAGAGTTTTGGTCAGCACACTCTGTGCTCTGAGCTAATTCATGAAAAAACACAGTCTCAAAGCAATGACACTTTAACTGGGTGAAAGAAAATAACAATGCCAACATTTTTATGTATGAATTGTACATGTACGGTAGAAATTGTGAGAAGGAGAAAAGGTTAATGGCACTTTTAAAAAAATAAAAAATAAATCTCGTCAAAATTTAACTGAATGAAAAATCTGAATTTCACACAATTTCATAAAACTTCAACTGACACTGCTTAAAAAGATATCAACACACTGATTCTGACAAATAACACTTAAAGCCTTGTGACCCATTTGAACTTTGAATGAACTTTCTACTATAAAGTATGCTAGAGCTACAGGGTTCCAGATATCAGTAGGTTTTGGCAGTTGTCTGGCTGACGGCCCATTCATTTAAATGAGGATTATTGCAGGGGGGTTTTGTTTGTTTGGTTTTGTTTTGTTTGGTTTTTACAAATTATGTAAATAAAAGTAAACGACAGTAAAAGAGGAAGCACCATATTCTTTATGGGGTAGCACGTTTTGATATAGAATTTATGTGGGTTTTCTCAAAGTTGCTTCAATGCTTATGTATTGGCACACTTAATAATATTTATTATTATTATGATGACGACTATTAACAACAACAACAATAAGAAGAAGAATGTCTTGGCACACTCAACAAGAACGATATTAACATTAATACTACTAATAATAATAATTATACAAATTTCAATAAAATTCAGACAATGATTATAACATTTTCTAGTATTTTTTAATTAATTATTATTATTTTTATTTATTTATTGTTTTACATTAGTCAGGGTGTCTGTGGCTCTGAGATCAAGCCTCAATGCTCCTGCCATGCACAGTATCTTATATCTGTTGTTTACATGTTGTAGCTTTGATTACAAATTATTTTCAAAGGTGCTCTAACATCACAACAAGTCTTTGTAAAGAGGTATGTACAAATCTCTCCACCCTCACGATCCCAGCTGCTTTTCTTTTCTGTTTTTTCTTTTTGTTTGATCGAGCTCCGCAGCGACCAATTAATAAGATGTATTCCTGTGAGGGCGGGAGTTGTGGCGTTTATGATTTTTGGGGGGAGGGACTTCCTCCAGAGCTGCAGTTGGATGGCAGGCAGTTGCTCGGCTGACACGTAACTAAAGTTAAAGGTGCTACGGAGGCCTCGTCGTGGAGCGGAGTTTCAACTTTTCCGTAAGCTTGTCAGAACTGCGTCGGTAACGTTAAAGTCTGCGGCGGCGGAAAGAGACGCAAGCGGGGGGTCGTCAGCGTGGGTTAGAGCCGCATTTCAACCGGGCAGAGTTTGACTTGAAGTCAAGCGAAAATCTGAGCGGCTACTTTGAAGTTGCAGGAGAGAGTCGCTGCTGGATGTAGCTATGCTAAAATAATGTACACAAACGCAATTGGTAGCAGCTAACTCGTGTTTTCTGGAAATGCTCGGGGAGTGAGGTGAGGAGGGGGCTTCTTCGGTCTTCGCCAGGAGGGTAACAAAAAAAAACAAAAAAAAAAAGTTGGGACGGAACTTTCCAGCAGCAGAGACGGGGCTTTCTGGCTCAGACAGCGGGGAGGGGTGCGGGTCCAACATGGGAAACGGGGTGTGCTCCCGGAGGCAGCGGAGGATCTTCCAGTGTCTGCTGCTGGTCACCGTGGTCTGCGGGATGATGTACGGGGGCATGATATCGTATGAAATGCACAGACAACTCAGGAGGACGGAGGCGATGGCGCTCAAGTATCAGCAACACCAGGAGTCCCTCTCGGCTCAGCTCCAAGGTAAACACATGATGTGATTAAGTGTTGTTCTGTGTCCACAGCTGACAGGGCGAATGTCAAACCAGAGCCCGCCGACAAAACCGCAGTTTTATTGTAGTCGTGCTCCCTCACTGACGATCGCACCTTTTAGCACAAACATGGGGACCTAATGTGATTCCTTAGTAACTGTACTTCAATTGGGATTCCACTTTGCACCTTTATAACAGAGGAATACGTTTAAAAATGGTTCAGTTTCCCCTTCCACATTAACTGGTTCTAGCTGGCAGCTTATAATAGCAGGAACAACACTTTTTAAATCCCTTACTGAACTGTTTATGCTATATATCATTTACCTGTTAATATTTTAATCCAAGCTACATTGTTCTCAGCTCCCCTGCACTCACACAGAGTGGCAGTAACCCTGTATTCATTGGTGTTTGTTCCTATCAGAGTCTGTAAATTTGCACTAAACTTTGCCTCATTTTAAACACGCTCTTTCACACACATCTGTAGCTGTACGTAGTTTGTACACTCATTTGTCCTTCTTTAGTCTTTTACACTTTCTTTAAATGCACGTTTTTTGTGAGCAATGAAAAAGCTGGAGACAAATTCCTTGTATGTGTACATATACTTGGCCAACAAAACTGGTTCTGATATAATAGTAGATTAAATATTGTAGGAATTTGGACAGATGTGACGAAACAGAGTATTTGAACACATCACTGTTTTTTTTTGGTGAGTTTTAAGTTGCATTATTTCTTGCTATCTTTTGTAGACAATATAGTTGATCGACTTCCTGAAAATAATAGCCAGATTAATCAATGATTGAAATACTCACTTGTTGCAGGCCATGTCGCGTAAAAAAACAGCCACAGCTGAAAGTTGAAAAAAGTACTTATTTGTTTATTGGGTGTGTGTCAAATGCAAGAACGACTCCACAGAGAACCCAGTGAATCAGGCTGTCTGCCGTCTGACCTAACTGGAGTGTAACCACAGTGATTGCAGCCAAGCTTGGATTTACAGAGAACCTGTCTTTCACCCTTGACCTTAGGTGAACTTCTAATCTTGAGCTAAACCAGGTTAAGGTCTGGGCAGTCTGGGCTTTAAAGATCACCGGAGAGTTCGTATGGTTAGATGGGTCTGCTGTTTGCAGGCCAACTGTAAAAATCAAACACCGCACAGAGCTTAGGTTTACTGGTGACTTGAAACTATGATACAGACACCTGGTTGTGTGTCCCAAGGCTCACCTCAGCAGTATATCTATAAGTCAAGAGGTCAGCCTGAACATCTGTTTGTTCCAGACACTGCTGGAGGGAATGGGAGCACAGTCACCGTAGTTTTAAGCAAAACACACAGATGAAGCGCAAAGTTAAACACAGTTTTAACTTGTGTTTGTCCATCATGACACATGATTAGTGGGACGCTATGTTGTCATGTTGGTCTCTGTGACTCTGTAGGTACATTGTAGTGAAGTCTACAACTCAAAAACAATAGCAGCTTCATACATACACCACACCTATCCCATATGGAGCAGATGACAATACATTTAGCAGCACCTTTGTATTTGAATGCTAATGAGGGAAAATTAACTTCCCAAAAAATGCTGTGACTTCTGCAAACTTCAAATTCAAGTTAATACCAGGTATATATAGAAATCAAAAACAAACATGTTTGTAATGGCCTGTTGATTTGCTCAATTGAGAGGAACCAGATTTTTCTTGTGAACACAATAGCTTTCGTAACAATGCATAGCAGGAAATGTATACTTGCACTAACTCTGCTTGGATGATCTCAATAGATTTTGTTGCATTTTAATTGGGCAAAACAATTTTTTTTGGTTAAAAATAAAAAAGCTTTTGTTTGAATTCTTGACAACAAACTACCAGTATGGTGAGCCTACAAGGTGCACTCAAAAAGTTCTGGTTCTGTCTCTACTGGACATTACCAAAGCACAACATGGTCATGCACATGTGGGCAGTAACTCCTAAACAGCAGTCTTTGTGGTGGAAGAGCCCACAGTGTCCAAGACAGAAGATGGCACTTCATATCAGGAGAGCACCAAGAGAACGCTCAAACTTTTCTTTGACATTCAAGGAGCTGTGCAACATGATTTTGTTCCCCAGGGTCAGACTGTAAGCACCTAATTCTCATGTAGCGTCCTGAGGTATCTGAGGGTTAGCATTCAGTGCAAACGATCTTAACTGTGACGCAACGGCTATTTGGTGATGCATTACGACAATGCGTCCACTCATAGTGCATTGAAAATGTTCTGAAAACACAATTAGCGCTCCCCATCAAAACCAGCCGACTGATAAAGTTTAGTGGGGGAGATCCAGCATGTGTTACAGATGGTGCTTGATGTGCTTACAAAATTGGACTTGGACATGAAGCATTCCAAGCATGGCAGGAGTGTTAGGAGCACTTTATTGCTGTACAAGGGGACCATTCCAAAGGGTATAGTGGCCAAATTTGCTTTTTATAGGCACAGGCTGAACTTTTTGCTTGCACCTTGGACATGTTCTTTTATGTCTTTTGTTATGGAGATTATGGTATAAGGCAATCCAGTTTTAAGTGGGTTTGTCAGTTGGGTGCTGCATCACCCTGATAATTTAAATGGCCCCGCATACTGCCGTAATCCTTCTGAAAATGAAATTACGAAGTGGGGTCAGGGCAGGGTCAGTCAAGTATTGTTTGCAACACTTTTGATTTTAATCGTGCCTCAGTGTCTTTCAAATCCTCCTGTTAACAGCAAAGAGCTTTGTACAGTCTTGATAGTGACATTGTTGCACTTGTTTCTGATGTCAACACACTTTATTCAATCACCTTTTAGTTAGTTATAGACCCAGTTAATATTTTGCCCTACTTAAAAATTTGACTGGTTGCCAGTGTTGTAAAAAAGTGTTTGCATGAAGTCATCTGTTATTTAGTGAGAGCCAGAAGCCACAAAACTATCAGTAACAACAACAACATTCACATTTGAAAATATGCAAATACATACTAATGTGTTTACTTATCTGAGTGGAAAATGGTGCCACAGACATGCAGGTTTTCTTGATCCACCAATATTATGTCTCAAATGTTCTACCTGTTTCTATTAAAAACCCAACTTCAGGAACATTTTTACTTCCCCCATCTTTATAAAAGATTAAACAGCCGTGTCCAGCAGTAACCTCAATGATTTACTCCCTTCATATAAACAAACCCAAACACACTCTGCTGTGCTGACAGGATGTGAGGTTTTGTGTCAGGCCATTATGACACAAGTTTAAAATTAACAGCCAGGCAGAGGACCTACTCCCACATGGCTGTTCAGAACAAGGTTTGTGCCCACATCAGGCAGTCAGAGTGTGCAAGGGTTTTAGCCCAGACTTTAGACCTGATAATTTAATGTAGCCTTTAATCCACCTAACCAGCCATCATCTCACCCCATCATCCACTACTTTTTCCTGCAGATCTCCCATGGAGCTGACCTTAAGCTCTTATCTGTCATGTCATTAAAATGATATGCATACACACTTATTCAGGCCTGTGTTTTGTTTTGCTGTCAAGATAAAAGAACAAACTGCTTTATAACAGGCAACGTTTAAAACGGGTTTCCTACAACTAAGAAGGCTGTTTTTGTCAGTTTTAGGTCAGTGTTATACAAATGGCTCCAATTCCAGTTTGAAAAGCTGCAGTAAAGCCTAGAGAGAATAACCATATAATGTGATGCTTTGAATGAAATGAGTACAGTTTACCTCCATCTGCACTGCTCAGCTTATGCACCACACCCTAACTTTTATTGTAAAGCGATGGACTCCTCAGCCATTCACAAGGCCCCGCACTTGATATCCACAGCAGACTGTTGATTGCTGTTTTTCTTGTCCTATATTTAGATGTTGGCCATAGCTTGGGGGTTGTGAGCCAGCCGTATCGATTCTCTGTTACCCACTGTAACCACAGGCTGGCAGTTGTCAGTCATTTAAAAGGATCAACTGGCACTTTGTGGTTGCGCGTGCACTCTGACAAATGTGTCCCTGTGATTTAACACTCATTCACTTCCTCGCAGACCTCATTGTTTCTGTGTCATTTGCAAAACTTCAATCAAATGGAATTAAAATTAGATCAGTGGCTTCTGTAGGATGAGCATTAGCGCAGAGAGCTCTTCGTACCAGCTCTCTTGAAGGGCTCAAATGTCCAGACTTTCAGCTTTCATCTTGAAGTCCATTATTTTGGTCGATAAGGAAGTGAGTTTCTGACTGGTTTCCCACCTGTCTGAGGTTTCTCAGATTAACTGAGTAACAATTTCAGCAACAAAAAATAGGCACACCAGCCTGGCTCCATGTCTAAGTAGCAGAAGTGGTTTTTCTGAGTATAAAGGTACCTGTGCGTGTTATGTTTACTACTAGATGGTGGAAAGAAACCTGCAGGTATTGCCATCAGAGGAGGAAGTTTGAAACCCGAAGTTTGCTCGGCCTGCTCCTGTGGGAGAAAGCTAGAAATAAATGTAACTGAAATTAACTTGTGCAAAGACTATAAGAAACTCAGGAATGTTAATGTGTATAATTGCAGTAATGTTGAAGTTGCAGCTGTGCAGCATAAAAAATTGTATACATATTATGTGTCTTTGATTTCTTTGGAGTTCTGGTCGTTCTGGTAGAGAGGACTGAATTATGTTCTGTACGCTCTTTGATCACCAAGACAAATAGATACAGCATACATGAAACATTCATACACTACTTGGTGCGTTTTTGGACAAAGTGAAGGTCAGTATCTTTGTTAATCTTACTCCCTCCCAAATTGAGCTTGCCTCTTGTGTTTGTGTGTGTGTGTGTGTGTACACAAGGGTGGGAGTGTGAACACACACAAAAACATCACAGACAAAAATCCTGGTCCCCATTTCCCCAGCCACACCATAAGCCAAATCCAGCCACTCCAATCTTCTCCACATCTAAACCAAGAGGCCAGTAAAGGTCACCGCTATAGAGAGCTCCCTTGTTCTTGCTCTGCAGATGCACTTCAACTGCACTGTAAGGGAAATGTTTCATTGGTCTGGGGGGAAGTCCTCAGACAATCAATGTTCACTCCCATGCTCATTGAAGTTTGAACAAGATAAGAGCACGTGTAAAATGGGTCAGTGTGTCGGTGAGAGATTGGAGACTTTCTTTGGGAATAGTTGCCAGTTGACCACTGCTAATTTGCCATTTAAAGAAACACCAGCAAATTGTGCATCTCTGCATCTAAATATTTTAGGAGTTTTTCTGTAGTATGTTTTCTTCATATTGAAATTATTTAAACTGTTAACGGTCAAGGAGAAAAAGGATTTAACACCAATTATTCACTTGTTTTTTTCCTCTCTCTTTTAAACTTGGCCTTGTGTTTAAGTAAGGATCATTAAGTGTCTATATTAAATCTGCTATGTAAATTATGACTTTTCCTGCTATTAGGGAATTTTATTAATTTAAATGCACATTCAATGGACATCCTTTTTTTAGACTGTAGCTGCTTTGTAGCTGTTGCCCGGCCATGTTGACCCCTAGGGAGAGGGTGTGTGCGGTGTGGCCTGAGCTGAGCTCATTGAAGAGCAACATGGCCTCATCTTTGGCAGTGCGGAGGAGGTACGGCAAAATAAAACCTCCCTAATCCAATGAAGATAGACGTCCTCCTGATCAAGCTTAGAGAAAAAAAAAGAAAGAATTTGGGAAAGGTTGTTGGATTTCAGCCATTTCTGTAGGCGACTAAACCTGAAATTCAAATACTCCTGAGACAGCCTTGTAAAACTTTGTATTGTCATTGCGGCAAACAGTGGTGTGACAGCGTATTATTTCCCAACATTTGACCCTAAATCACCCGGGAAAGCCAGTTTAGCCTGAAACAGATGGAATTGCTTTCACTTGCCACATAATAACAGTATATGCAAAACACGGCAACTGATGCAATGTAAACTGTTTATGCAAATTAATCAAATAATGTAAGAAGCCAATGAAGGGTTGTGTCTTTGTGCATACAAAGGGTGTGCTGTGACACTTGTCATTCAATACGTGGAGTACAGTGAATCAGAAAACCCCTTTATGGCAACACCAGAGTGTGAAGCATTGAAGATTTAAACTGGATCTTGAATCAGGCGACTTTGTTGTCCTGTTGTTTTGTACATTGTCAAAGGTTCAAATTTTTCTTTCTCATCCATTAGTTTATGTAACCAGTACTTTACTATATGACGTAATTTTACATTACTTTATTGCATTGTAACACCAATACTGTCTCTCTAACTGTGTGAGTCTGTTGGTATATCTAGTTGTTTGCCCTATTTGTATCTGTCTCATCTATGTCAGCTTTCTTTTCCTCTCCATTTCCTCTGCTAATTCTCTGTCCTTAGCCAACTGTCCTCTGCTCTGCTCCTCCTTAGTTTCACTGTCTTCAGGGAATTATCACAGAATAGATGTAGCTAACAGTTTATCCTGGAATCTGTTGAGGTGGCACTGAGAGGGGAGAATGGCCACATCATCAGTTTGACTGCCCAGCCCCCAAAGGCAGGAAGAAGTTAAGACTTCATGTTCAGAGTTCAGTTTTTTTAATGAGTGATTCACAGGCTGCCCCCAAGATCAGGACAAGTTATTAGAGCCAGAGTGATTGTAACATGAGAGGTTGTCCATATCTTCTTCTTTTGAAGAGGCTAAGAAGCAGAGTATGTGTTGAAAGCCACTGTTGTCTCTTTTCCTAAGACAAAACAAAGTTACAGAATGCTTTCATGAGCTGCAAAATGAGTATGTCAGGAAGCCTCAGGAGTCCTCTAGAAATACAACTCAGCGGACTGCTTATCAGGCTTCATCTGAAAGAACAAAAGCAACAACAGTTGCAGCAGCTGAACGGACACATGGAGGACGTGCAGCATGTAAACCTGACATTACTTATTCATTTGTTACGTTGTTTGTGCCATGTAACTGTCTGTTGCATCAGCTTCAGGGTACTTGCCTCTATCCTGTGGACCGCTGCCTAATAAAAGAGATTGTTTTTGATTTAATGGTAAACCTGATAAGGGTGGAAAATGGAAGTAATTAAATAGGAATCTGTGTGAGAGGTGAGGAGTGTAGAGGACAGCTGCAGAGATTAGAAGTGAATCTAAAAGCTAAAGCAAGATCTTTGTTCAAATAAAGAGGCGTTCAAGAGATTTTAGGGTATTAAGGGGCATTTCCCACACCTTCACCTTGACAGGATTAGGACAAATGTTGTGAATCACGGCAAAGCATACTTTTAAAAACTCTCCTGCAGTGACCCACTGCCTGATGATTCCCCTATTGCTTAAGGACACTAAAAGCAGCCTGAACCACACTAGCAGTATCTCCCAATGCTGTTGGACTGTCAGTCTTGGGGTGAATACCACAGCTTTCTGCTGACGGAGGAGCTGTCATGTACTCAGATCACAGTCTGCTTGAATAAATATCACACGTGGCTCTCATCAAGCAGAAACGGCACATCCTCTCTCTGTCTGCATCTCTACAACAAATGTTTAAGCATCTGTGACTGTATATGTTTTGGGCAGTGTACATATTTGTATTACAGCTCACTTTCTGTTTGGTTTCCCTTCCATCTGGCCCAAATAGAGTTCAAAGCATTCACTAACCTTCTGTGTTCTCCTTCCCTGTTTTTATAGTCTCTCTTATCGCTGTGTTTTTAATATTTTCAGTGGTGTATGAGCACCGCTCCAGGTTGGAGAAGTCTCTTCAGAAGGAGAGGTTAGAGCACAAAAAGGCCAAAGAAGGTGAGAAAAGTAACATCTACATGATATTCTGACTCTTGAGGTATAACCCCATTCAAAGGAGCTTTGGGAAGCTTATAGCTCATTCTTAAACACATATGGTCCAACAAGTATTAGACTAGAAATAAGAAGCAGTATGTTGTTATTGTTAATCAATTTGGAGAAAAGCATTTGCTCAATAAATGCTATGTGTAACGGAATTTTAATGTTGTGATTTTCTTTTTTTCTTAAATTAATGTGTAGTTTCCTTCACATTGGTTAATGTGATCTTCATCTGTGTTTGATAGATTATCTAGTTTATAAACTCGAAGCACAACAGTCACTGAACAAGGAGAAGGTATGTTTATTCCACATCATTACCATTACTTTTATGACTAAGTAGCAATATCTGTAAACTTATTTTTACACACTGTTTACTTTATTCATGAAGTGTTTTTTTTTCTGTCTGCCTGCAACGCCTTGTTAAACGATTGTGTAAAGCTCTGTAGTGTAACCTTATGTTCTGCTGCCGTTTTGTGCTAGTGCTATGCAAACAGTGTTGCTATAACTGCCACTACCAGCTTTGTAATTAATCTCTTCACCATAATCTGTGGGTACATAAACAGTTTTCCAGGACTACAAAGACTTTTTTTTTGTAACCTTTGTTTTTACGCTCTAACAGCAAGACTCCAGCAGCAGATTCAGCTCTTTACAAGTGCAACATCAGATGTTAAAGGTAATGGATCATCACATTCCCAACACATTCACATTCACTTCTACTTAACCCGAATGTTTCTTTCTTCCTGCTGCTGACACAGAAATCCACATATTTAACCTCCTTTCTTCCTGTCGATAAAACCTGCAAACTATCCCTGACCTTCCTGTACATCCTTCCTTTTTGTGGTTTAGAGTTTGTGCATGTAACAAGGGGTGACTGTGTAATGACAAGAAGCTTTTTATTTGGTCAGAATCAGCATGAGGACCTGAAGAGGCAGTATTACGAACTGCAGGAGCAGCACCAAGTCCAGGGCGAGGACCACAGCCGGCTGCTGGACGAACACAAGGACCGCTTCGAGAAACTGCAGCAAACCAAAGAGGTGGAAGTCTCCCAACTCAAAGGTAGTGATGGCCACACAGAGAAACATTTTTATACACAGTTTGTTGTCATCATTTTACTCACATATACATATGTATTATGTCAGTGCAGTGTAGCAAGGTATTGCTGTCATCATTAAATACTCTGTCTCCATCTCCTGACTTAACAAAATACTGCATGTCTAAAGTGAAAGTGCCTTTTCTGCAAATTTTTGATCCTGCACTGGAAAATGGTTATAAATAGTCATATTTTACCATTTAATATAGGGTTGAAACTATCCTTTGCTACAAGCTCAAGTCCTCAAAAGGAACAGGGATGTGTTTTGCCATAATTGTAAAGTATTTTATATAGAACTGACAGGTAGAACCAGCATTTGTAACATATTCTATTGTGATAGAAATGTAAAATATGAGGAGCTCCAATTATTTTAATGGGTTTTATGAGAGTCTAGTTCTTGTTTCACTGCTTTCTGTCAAAATGCATGCGTTCTTTTAATACATCTGCTGTTTGTTATGGCAGAAAATGTATATAACCTAAGAGAGGAGAACAAGCAACTGAGGAAAGCTCACCATGACATTCACACACAGCTGCAGGATGCACAGGTAAGGACCGAAGGTTATTTCTTGTCTTTCCATATATGTCTGCTTGAGTCTGCCTTTTATCAGTGAGTTTAAGATGTATAGAAATAGTTATCTGCCTCTCTGAAATTGAAGAAGCACAGTTCTGTCAGTGATTCGTGAAAACATATCAGTAAAACTTCTCATTCTCATCTAAAATTTTACTTAAATAAAAATATTTTGGTGGAAAAATGTAAACCTAACATGAATAAATGAATGTAAATGGCTCATTTCTGCTTTTTTGTTGCACCTGCGTGTTCAGGTCCAACATCAGGACCTGAAAGCATCCCACGACCAGCTTGCACTGACACTGGAAGACCACAAGAGTGCGCTGGCTGCAGCTCAGGTAGGACGGCAGCTCAGAGATGCAGTATTATTGTTTACTGCAGTCACTGAATAAATCAGCTCATTGATGCTGAAAATCTGTTTGCTTCACGTATCTGGACATATATGGCTTCAAATGTAATATCTCCAAGGGGTTTTTGTCACATACTTTTATACATAAAGTGTATAATATCACCATGTTAACAGTAGACCTACAAAATCTAAGACACTATTCATGGAATAAAACGGCTAGGTGACAGGGAGATTCTGTTACTGTTGTACAATATGTGTCACTAATCTGAATGAGTCTTTGTTAAGTTGTCAAAACAAATGAGGAATCAGTAACCTGGTGAAAAACAAGCTCATACAGAAAACTAAAGAGTAAGTCCTGTGACCAGTGTGTCCCCAGAGACGATGCAAAACTCCTGATTCTTTATCATCGTCTGTTGTACATAGGATCAAGTGGATGAAAGCATACTCGGCTTTAATTTAGTCTTCTCTGTAAACCAGAAAAATGTGTATTGCAGTGGACTGTATAATCCTCAGTAGAAAGATGCCAGGGGTGTTGCTTGGTTTTTGGCTAATTAGATCAGATATTGCTGTTTCTCCTTGAGAGTGACCTTTGAAATGCCTGAATGGTTTATTGAATATACACTACTCTGCTGATTTCCTTTCCATCTGCGCTGATGGATATTCACTCACTCTCCACTCTTGCCCTCTCTCTCTTTCTGTCTGTCTGCATTTGCTAATTTGTTTTAAAGCCTGTTCTGCTTTCCATCAGTGCCTCTGGTTGAGTACACACACCCCAAACACACGAACACACTCTCTTCCCTTCACTCCAGGGGGTTTGGTTTAGTCAGGACTGTCAGAGCAGTACATCTAAAGCACACTGCAGCCAATCAGCCAGAAACCGATAATGGAGCGACTGGAGTGAGACAAAAGGGACAAGTGAGGAATTTAGGAAGAATTTTTGGCATTTAACCCGCATACCTGGTCAGAATGTATGTGGGCATATACATAGAAAGTGTATACATAGGAAGGGTCCCATCTGGATAGTCACTTTTAAAAGAAATGCCTGCATTACCTGAATAATAAGTGTTAACATTTTCTGATGAAGAAATGTTATTTTTTCAAGATGCAAGTGGAACAGTGGCTGTAATGTTTTTTCAGAACACACGTGTCTTATTCTGCATGCTTTAAGTTGACACTTTCTCACATTTAACAACAAACCGTATTTTAATCTGTCATTACCCTTTTCTGGGACTGACCCAAATGTTTAGAACACAATATATGCTTCAGTGTGCTCTGACATTGATTTTCCAATCTTCTGGAACTCTAGTGGGAGGAACAAGCACCACTCTTCCAAAAGATATTCCCTTATTTTGTGTTTTGATGATGGTGATGGGATTGGGTTCTCTTCTAGCCGAGCAAATTCTGCCTGTAGCGCAGAGAAAACGTTAAAAGATAGCATCCCTTCATCTTTGCACTCCTGGTGTTGTTTGCTGTGTTTTTAATTAAATATTACCATATTTAAAAATCACAATTTAGTACCCTTTAAGAACTTTAAGATAAAAGTGTTGCAACATATTTTCCAAATACGAAATCAATAAAGAACTTGGTTTTACTGTGAAGACTTAAAAAGTATTGTTAATATTCAGTATGCAATCTTAGTCCTGGGGGAGTGCACATTTGGATTTTTAATATCATTTTAGTCACACTTTCTAGTGACCCCAGGTCTCCTTAAATAAAGTTTCTTTCAACTGTAAAATAAATGCTTTACTGTTGATACATAAATTACTACCAGTTGCCTAGATTTTGAAAAATCTCTCTAATAGTAAAACCATTAACAAAGCCATTAATAAAAGGTCCTGAATGTCGTACTTTCTAATTAGCCAACAGCAAAAGTTATTTTAAATGATAAATATATGTAATTTACTATTGCAGACTCAAGCAAAAATCCATAAAGTGTACTGTAGATGTACATTAAAGGTTGACTTATAGAATGGAACCACTTTGGAATAGTAACAATCCGTCAGCATGACTGGTTCCCCCAGGATTTTCTCAGTCTTAGCTTTCCTATTGTGTATGCTGTTCCTTTTAGATGCAGGTGGATGAATACAAGCAGCTCAAGGAATCCCTAAACAGGGTGCCCAACCTGGCAGAGCATCAGCAAAACCATATCCCTCAGCAGCTACAGGCAGCCAACATAGGACCAGAGTCCCATGGCCATGAAAGCCAGCAGGATACCTTACTGCAGGAGACACATAAAGAGGGCGTCATCCATGAAGATCACCAGGCTCACCAGGACACTGATACAAGGGTATTGTGGGATTCTTTGTCACTTATCAGGTTTATCAGGAGAAGACTAAAGATACACTGTGAATATGAAAAAGAAAGGTCTATGATTTCTCTTGTGGCATTCTTCTCAGTTGGACCACACAGTTGAAGAAGTGCACGCCCAGTCCGAGATGAAGCCACACACCACTGTATCCCAGCACGACCAGGCCGAGAGAGACGAAGATGGAGAGGGAGAGGCCGAGAGGAGGAGGGAGCTGGCGGAGGAGGAGATGGCCCAAGCAGGACAGCCTCAGAAGCTGGAGGAGGATCCTGACCAACTACAGGAGGAAGAGGAGGAACCAGAACAGGACCAGCCAGACGAGAACGCCTTGGACCGACACAGACGCCAGCCTCAGCCGGTCAGAACTGGTTTACACTACTTCATTTTATCTAAACTGGGTTTGAAGTGGCTTAAATTTCCTGTACCTTATTTGACAACTTTTAATTTCAAGCGACTGACATTTACAACTTGTATACTTACAAACAAAACCAGTACAAAAGTTTACAAACACTTGTAAAGACCGTGGATATCATGGCAATCTTGAGCTTCCATTGACCCCTAAAAAGACCTACAATTTTCCATGATGGAATCACATACATCTTTGTCACAAAAAAACAATCATGCCTTTTGGTTCTTTGTAAGATTTATTATATGACTCTGAAAATATCACAAAATCTGCTCAGTCAAAAATATACATACAGCAACTTGAATTATCAGTTTTGGCGATGTAGAAAGTTTCATTAGACTCTGTCAAATGAGTGTATCAAACGGGCAAACAAATGCTTTAAGCGTAAAGTACATGGTACAGTTGTGTCACGGCCGCGATCAGGAAGAAAATACAAACCTTCACCTGCTGCTGAGAGATGAAGAGTCAGGAAAAGTAAGAGTCAACTAACAAGCCCCAAAAAGCAGGTCTGCAATGATTTAGAAGCTACAGAAACACAGATGTCACTGTCCACAGTGATTTTTCAGTGCCATGGGCTGAGAGGCTGCTATACAAGAAGGAAGTTCTTGTAAAAGCTGCGCCTTCAAGCGCAACTGAAGCTTGCTGCTGTTTACATGGACAAAGAAAAAAGTCTTCTGAATGTTTGGTTTTTAGATGAAACAGAAATTTAGCTATTTGGTGCCAATGACAGGAAATATGTTTGGAGGAGAGAAGGTTAAGCCTTTAATTTCAACCAAACCTACTGTCATGCATGGTGGTGGTAGTATTATGCTCTGGGGCTGTTTTGTTGCCAGTGGAAATGGTGCTTTACACAAGTAAGTGGAATAATAAAAAAGTAAGCTTTACCTCTCCATTCTCTAGTAAAACCTACAATCCATCCATCTATATACTGCTTAATCCTCACTAGGGTTGCTGGGGGGCTGGAGTCTATCCCAGCTGACTTAGGGTGAAGGCAGAGGACACCCTGGACAGGTCACCAGTCTATCACAGGGCTACACTTAGAGACAGACAACCAAGCACACTCACATTCACAAGTTAGAATCACCAATTAACCTCAGCATGTTTTTGGACTGTGGGAGGATCTGGAGTACCTGGAGAGAGCCCACACTGCACGGGGAGAACATGCAAACCCCACACAGAAAGATCCCAGGCATCCTAACTGGAACGCTCACCGGGAATCTTCTAGGTGCGAGGTGACTGTGCTATCCACCGAGCCACCTTGCAGCCCCATTCTCCAATAAAACCTGAAATCATAAGTCTAAAGGTTGGGTCTTGGATGCAGTTGGGTGTTCCAACAAGAAACACACCTCAAAAGTGGTAAAGGAATGGCTAAATCAGACAAGAATTAGGATTTTAGACCGGTCTTCCCAAAGTCCTGATATAAACCCCACGAGGAATCTATCAACTGTGCTGCAGAAACAAGTCTACATGAGAAAACCAACAAATTTAGTTGAGCTGCACCAATTCTGTTAAGAGGAATGGTCAAAGATACAACCAAAAGCTTGCCAGAAGCTGGTGAACAGCTCCCAAAAGCATGTAGTTAAGGTTTAAATATTTAAATGTATAGACTTACTGTATGTATCTTTTTGACCCAGCAGATTTTGTCATATTTCCAGAAGACCTTTAATAAATCTATGAAAGAACCAGTATGCATGACTGTTTTTTGTGACAAAGATGAATGTGTTTCAATCATTCCATCACGGAAAATAAAGAGTTGAAGAGTCACTGGAAACTCAAGACTCCCATGATACACATGGTCTTTACAAGTGTATTTAAACTTCTGTTAGCAACTGTATAGTGGAAGTTAAATTGTGTCAGAATGGCTTAATTGAGCAACATAACAAAGCTTTTAATTATAAATTAGACACGCGTGTCCTTGTCATAATGAGTACACAGCTACTGCTCAAATCAAAGGTCCCAGTGGAAACGATAGAAATAACAACCTTTTAGTGTTTACTTCTTTGATTACTGACAGCTTGCACGTTGTGTGTTCTGCTCGTTGGTGTATGCTGTCAGTTTCATCTCCCAGAAGACTAATAATATCATCCCACCACATTTATGTCGGAGATTAGCAGGAACAAAGTGTGTTTGATTTGCTCTAATACTTTCCCTTCCTGTTCTACACGTTCCTTCGGCATGTCTTCTCTTATCTCTAAGGATCCCAATGTTGAGCTGCATCAGGAGCCACAGCTGCAGCACCAGGCACCAGCCCAGGTGGAACATGTGAAGTCAGCCTACGAGCAGCAGCAGGAGCAGCAGCGCCTGGAGGCTCAGAGGGCCGAAGAGCGCAGGCAGATCCAGATGCGACAGGAGAGCCTGCAGGCCCAGAGGGAGAGGGTGCTAAAGGAGAGAGAGCAGAGGCTGAAGGAGGAGAAGGAAAGAGAGCAGCAGCAGCACAGAGATGCCGACAGACGGGAGCAGCAGCTGAGAGAGGAGCACCAAAGGTCAGACTTCAACAAAGTGCATGAAGAGTTTGCTCGGATTATCAAAATTGTATTCAGAACTACAGTATCAGTGGAAATAGATCCACCTCCATGTCAGGACAAAGGAGGCAAATGCAGTTTCATTTGTCTTGCAGAAAACATTGAAGAATATAGTAAATTTTGACAAATTTAGGCTTTTTCAAACATAATGAAATTGATTGAACCGGGCGTGGTGTACTCTGTCTTTAGCCTTGTTGGTACAGTTGCTCAAAAACCACATGCAGATAAAAAAAAATTAGCTGCTTTTAATTTTATTACTAGTTTTCATTGCAGGGATGTCGGTAATGACAAATTTTCCTGTTGAGTAAGTGAAAATTTAGACTGAAATAAATTTAGACTAAAAGTGCACTCAAAACTGTCAAAACTAAGCACATTTTGCATGTATTTGGGAGCTAGATGAAAGAATTAGTCACATTTTTAAGTAACCAAATTGATTTAAATTAAATGTGTTGCACTTGTGGTCGTGCATATGAATGTGTTATATCGGTTTGTTTGGAGCGTGACTAACGTTAGCAGCGCTAGCACCAGCGGGCATTCTGTCCTTGCAGGTTTACATTCATGTGCTGTTGCTGAGTGTGGTTCCAGATTGCCCCAATCATGTGGTTGTATGCCATTTTATTCTAACACACATGCAACCTTCATTTCATTTTCTAGATCAAAACACTGTCAAACTGCTTAGGTTTTACGAACATACTGGTTTTGGCTCGTTTAGATGGTCAGCAAAAGGGTGGGACTGCCAGAGCTGTGGTCATGGGTGGCCTTTAGATTCAAAGACTTAACCAGTGTTGTATGTTGTTTGTAAAATTTGGTGTTTCTGGTGTAGACCAGTAAGGGTAGCAATGTTTATTTGTTTAGGTGACTAGTCACACATATCCCTAGTTAAAAGGAACATTTAATGAGACTGGCATTTCCCCTCATTGATTAATTAACCCCAGCAAGTACAATTTCCCTCCTGCTGGCTAAAATTAATTGACTGTGATGTTTGCTACTGAACAAACTAATAATTCCTGATAATTATTAGCAGTAACACCATACATCCATAATCCAGGAGGAATCAAACTAGGACAATGCCAAAGTTAGCGGTAAAGGGATAATTCCTCCAGGAAGTGACTTATAGTTAGATATGTATTGAGAGCTCAAGAGAAAACAACTATAACTGCAGCGTGGTGAGCACTAAATGTTTAGACCCTGCATAATTTCCATATTTCTTGGAATTAGGGAATTGATTTTGATGTTGTTTCACGTTTCTGGTTTTCTTCTGTTATTCTTGTTAATAGGAAGAGGACAGAGTATGAGAACATTGACAATGACATAGTCCAAGGAGAAGAGGAAGGTCACACTGACGATGAAGAAGGTGAGATTGAAAGACTATGAGTGAAAAGTCCTGGGAATCCAGATCAGCAGTTAAAAGTTAATATTTTAAATGTTTGTCATTACTGCATGTTAGTAACATAGGAGAAAGTATTTTCTTTCTTAGTGTCTGATTGCATTAGAAAAGCTCACAATAGCAGATGGTTGCTTTAGTGAATCTTGTTTGTGTGTTAACAGATAGAGATGTTCACATGTTACATGAGGAGGAGGAGAAGCAAGAGGTGGATCACAGAGTGCCTCCACATCAGCAGGTGATTGTCCGTCTGTCAGCCTTTCCATCCTGCTCTCTCCATCTGTTAGCATGTGTCTTCAGCATCTGTCTATCCCCGCAAGCTCATTCACTCATTTAACATTCATACCAGCGTATCATGTGTCATACATTCATTCATCAATCCATCAAAGCATTGAATGCGTAATCACCCCACCCCACTGTCCAACACTGCAGTATTCATCCTCGCTCTCTCTGTCTTCCACTTGTCCATCAACTAAGTGATCTATTAAATCTCCTGAATACCAGCAAGGGAATCCATACAACTTCAGAGTGCACTGAGTTTTATTCCAACTATCATATCTACCTTCAAAATTCCTCACCACTGAAGTTTTATTGTATCCGCTTTATTATATCTCTAGCTGTTATTTTAAATTTATTGCACCTTATATGTTCCATTATTATTCTAGCTCTTCTTTATTTTCCTAAATTTTGTCTTATTTTGCTATGGTTTCATCTTGTTCAGGGTGCTGTCGAAGGTGAGCTGGACCCCGAGGATGACCCCAACAACCAGGGAGAGGATGAGTTTGAAGAAGCCGAGGATGAACGGCCGCCGCACAGGGTTGCTGAAGAGGAAGAAGACATTGTAGAAGAGGAAGAGGAGCCGGCAGTGCCAGCCCAGCGTGTAGACGCACACCCAGGACCCGACCAACCTGCTGTGGAGGAGGAACTAGTGGTGAGTAAGAGGACAGATAAAACAAAGGAGAGATTCAAGGCAATGTTCGGGTACACAGCAGCTATATTCGGCACCAACTGAACCAAATGCAGAGATTACAGCTGCAGGAAGACATTGAGTGCTGAAGGGGGGGCAAGAATTTGTGAGTGAAAGATGTTCACAGCTGAAAACACACACACACACACACACACACACACACACACGCACGCACGCACAAACGCAGCATGGTAGGATGAAACTGATGATGAGAACTAGAAACATCCAGGAAGGGGAGAGAACCTCACGATCTAGGATAAGGAATTATATTGAAGTAGTGTTCTAACTTGTTTGATTTGTGTGCCTATCAGATGGCTGGAAACCCAGATCAACAAGAAGATAATCTGGATGACCAGTACCAAGAGGAAGATGAGGTAACACACGCTCAGACATGTTTTACACATTGAGAAGCAACACAAAACACATGACTGAGCAATAATAGCATGGAGGACAGGCTGCACAAATGTATTGTATGTCTCAGGCAGACCCAAACACCAGGACAATGTAGCTCTGCAGAGCAATGATCAGTGTGTCTTTGTTCTGACTTGCCATATCATAACAACAGAATTGCTGTATATGTAACCCTTTTGTCTGGTGTCCTCAAGGCCCAGGAGGACATAGCTGGTGGGCAGAAGAGAGAGGAGGTAGAAGAGGAAGGAGAGGACCCATATAACGAGGAGAACATGGTGGGTTCTTTAGCGAACTGGTCAGCAGGTTTCTGACTTTCAAAAGAGATTCATGGTGATCTGTAACCTCCACAAACCCACAAAGGGAGTTACAGTGGCATACTATGGAACAACGTGGAAATGCCACCCCAGCTCAGTAGGCACTTATCTATTCAGATCGTGACCATCAATGCAATGTTTAGAAAAATATAGACCTCCTTGAGATAGAAGTTGGGGATTTGCCCAGTCACATTAGTAGACAGTTTGCTTGGATCCGGCATATAGTGGCTATCAGATGACCTGCACCTGAAAGTATACAGCTGTGTTGTCTTCCAGTTGAGGCAGGATAGATTCAGCTTTCATTCCCGGGGTCTTTTCATCAGGTCCTTATAAGTAACATTGCACCCTTTAAGAGTTACTGGACATAACAGTTGTTTTGCACGGTGAAATGTTTTTATATCACACCTGGAAATATATGAACCATGCAGGGATTCACTTGTGTTAGCACGAGCGTGTGTGCATGTCTGTTTTGTCCCTGTAACTTGAACCCACGCCGAGTCATGATAACTGAGGGAGATCAGGTGTTTGAGTCTGTCGGGGTGTCGGGTTTTCACCTGGGTTTGGTTCATTTCATTCGTCCCTGAAGGAAATCTGTATGGAGAAGCTCGCAATATGTTCAGCTACAGAAAATTTACTGTTGTCTGTTACCTAATACTAAAAAATAGGTATTCCATTTGGGTTGTGATGTTCCTTTAGTGATTTAAGAAGTGACATCTCCAAAATGTACAGATCTTTTGATAACCAGCAGTCCACAGTGCTGTAATGACATCTGACTCCTTTCTGCTCTTTAACTAATTCTCACTCCTGACCTTGGAGAACAATGGGAGTTTATTCATGGTCCCCAGTTTATGCTGGGAGTACTGTATGTGTGCACTGTTTAAGGTGGAAACTTGTGAATGTAATAAGTTAAATTTTTTCACTGCACCTGAAGCAAGCGGTATAAGTTCCTCAGCCCCTCCTTTTCTTTGACAGACTTACACTCCTGATCAAAATCTTAAGACCAGTTAAAAAAATTGCAGGAATTTGCATGTTGCACTGTTGGATCTTAGGAAGGCTCCAAGTAGAGCTTCAAAATGCAAAAAGAAGAAATGGGAACAAGAGACCAAAGGTTGTGAGCAGGAAATTTATTGAAGACAACAATTTAACTCCAATAGGCTGTTCATCAGCTGATCAAGAGTTAAAGACCACAGCCTTTAAAAGCCAAAATCTGTGCAAAAATTTGGATTCCATGTCATTTCCTGTCAAGTAATCGCACTGTGAAGATCTCTTGATGGAAAAGGCAAAAAAGCTCACTGTCTTTGAACGTGGTGGGATTGTTGACCTGCATAAACAAGGCCTCTCACAACGTGCCATCGCTGCTGAGGTTGGACTCAGTAATACAGTCATTTTCTTAAAAGATCCTCAGGGTTACGGAACAAGTGGTAGACCCAAAAAAATCTCACTGGCACTGAGCCGGAGGGTCCGAATGGCTGTTTGTCAAGACAAGGGACAGTCCTCGTCCCAAATTAAGGCCATTACTGGTGCTGACTGCAGCCGAATAACCATCAGACAGCATCTGCGAAGGAAGGGCCTCAAAAACAAGAAATGACTTCAAAGGCCATGTCTTCTTCAATGCCACAAAATTGCCCATTTGGACTTTGCAAGGGAGCACCAAACATGGGACATTCAAAGGTGGAAGAAAGTTTTGTTCTCTGACAAGAAAAAATTTAACCTTGATGGTCCTGTTGGCTTCCAACGTTGCTGGCATGACAAGGAGATGCCACCTGAGATGTTTTCTACGCGGCATAGTGGAGGGGGAGCCATCATGATCTGGAGTGCTTTTTCCTTCAATGGAACAGTGGAGCTCCAGGTTGCGCAGGGGCGTCAAACAGCAGCTGGCTATGTGGAGATGTTGCAGCGGGCATCCCTCATGACTGAGGGCCCTCGTCTGTGTGGCAGTGACTGGGTTTTTCAGCAGGACAACGTTCAAATTCACAATGCCCATCTGACCAAGACCTTTTTCCAGGAGAATAACATCACTCTTTTGGACCATCCTGCGTGTTCCTCTGATCTTAATCCAATTGAGAACATTTGGGGATGGATGGGAAGGGAAGCTTATAAAAATGGACATCAGTTCCAGACAGTGGATGCCCTTCACGAAGCCATCTTCACCACTTGGAGCAACGTTCCCACTAGCCTTTTGGAAACACTTGCGTCAAGCATGCCAAAACGAATTTTTGAAGTGATCAACAATAATGATGGAGCTTCGCATGACTGAGTCAGTTTTTGACACTTTAATTTCTGTTTTAGGAGGTTTTTGGGTTTTTTGAGCTGGGGTCTTAAACTCTTGATCAGCTGATGAACAGCCTATTTGAGTTAAATTGTTGTCTTCAATAAATTGCCTGCTCACAACTTTTGGTCTTGTTCCCATTTCTTCTTTTTGCATTTTGAAGCTCTACTTAGAACCTTCCTAAGATCCAACAGTGCAAAATGCAAATTCATGCAATTTTTTTAACTGGTCTTAAGATTTTGATCAGGATTGTATGTTTCATACTCCGCCTCTCACTTTGACTGCAACTCGAGCTCAGTGGAGCTTTCACTTTCCGCTTCATTCATGCACTGCTGTACAAAAGGCAAATTATCACTCCATGCCTCAAGTGAAATACCCGTAAATGTTTGGAATTGTTGTGTTTAGTGAAAAAATGTCAGAAATTGAATGTTTACACAAGTCCTTGTAATGGCCATTCAATCATACTGTGTGCTTGTGATTCACTCCAGGATGAAGTAAAACACCAGGAAGGACCAAGAAAGGAGGGAGATCACAGACATGGCATGAACAATAACGAGGAAGAGAATTACGAGGAGGAAGAAGAGGAGGTAGAGGAGGATACAGCTGGTCGAGACAAGGGAACCAATCGGAGGGCAGAAATGTAGGAGGGGCGTGAACATTGACCAGTTGCGGTGCCTTTTTGGCTGCCTGTAGAGCCAGTCAGGTCTTTCTTTCTCTTGATTCCCAAAGGAATAAAACCAGCCATCCATTCAGAATTCCAGTTAGGAAAATTGGGATACCATGCCTGGAAGATGGGGATGCTATTCTAAACACTGTGGGGTTGGAACGGATCAGCTTACACTGTGGAAAAGGACACACTTGCAGGGCGCAAAGGGGATATATACTGTATATTTTTTTTATTTGTTGGCTTTTCTGTCTACTCGCACGTCTGCCTGATTGCCTGTTTGGTTCTGTTTTTGTTTTAACAGCAGTCAAACTGAGAATGTATTTTTATCAATGTGCTGTCTTCGAGTATGTGTAAAGAAAGCAAAGATAAATTATGTTATTCTAAATGTCCTCATGTGCAGGCCTCTGTATGTATGTTTTCTGTAGACGGTTTTATTCTTTGTAGAGCTCAAATGTTAATTTACATCTTGCATTCCAATCGATCAAGTCGTTTTCTGTTATTTATTGTTGACGGTAACAACTCTGACAATCGTATAAGGTGCAACATTTCTATTTTTTTCCCCTGACTGAAGTAGTTTGTGTCCTACCGACTTTCACAAACTTCTTGAGGCTGATACACGGGAGCATTTTCACCGGATCTTTCTGCAAATGCCAATCAGTGACATTTCAGGTGAAGCTGTTCTTTGCTCTTAGTGTCACACTGACATGTGCCTTTCTGTTCTTGGAAACCTTGTTTAGGTTGTAGTCATTTGAAATTTGGTAAAGCATTTTATTAGGACAGGAGAGATACAAGCATGTCAGTTAGTGCTGCAGCTCTTGTATAATGCTTCAGCAGTGCCTTAAACGGTGAACTATTTCATGTCAACTGTTGGTGTGAATTCAATTCACAAACCTAATGCATTTCACTGCAGCAACTTTAGTCTACTGTACAATGTATAGTAAAATGAATGCTGTCTATGTGTACATTTCTTACTGGTTATATTTGATACAAAAAAGTGGGATTTTGATAGTATTGAACCATGTTTGTCATCTGAATGGTGTGTGTGGAATAAAGAGGTCAAAGGATTTCAGTTAATTGTGATTATATTGTCAAATTCTGTACCTTACACTTTTGGAAGATTTAATTTAAAGGTGACAAGAATCAGTCATCAGTGAAGTCCAAGTAGGAAACCCTACACTTACTTTTAGGATGCTCGTAATTAAAAAAAAAAAAAAAAAAAGATATATAAATTTGGTTGTTGTGTATCTTTTCAAACATGTTTATGAAGAAAACCTGAGTGAAAAATTAAAGTTGTCAAGGACATGACAAATTGTGAAGTAGAGATCCTGGAATGAAGGGTTTTAAATGGCAGACAAGTCTGTCTAATGACATCTGTGCACATTTTTCTGGGGAACAATGTTTAGGTGGGTGGATTGTGCCAAAGTGACATCCACATGAATGCCAGGACCCGAGGTTTCCCAGCAGGAAGTTGCATTGTAACGAGATGATCAATGTTATTTACTTAATCTACCAGTGGTTTTAATGTTGTAGCTGATTGGAGGACATTCTCTAAAAAGTTTTCTTCTAGGGATTGCCCAAACAAATTTTTTTTGCCCCTGATCCAAAAAAGAAGAAAAATTATGCTGTCGCTTTACAACACCTGTTAGACAGCAGATTGAACTTAGGTTCAAGCCCAACAAAGCTGATGCTGATCACTTAAAAATAAAAAAAAATATATATATATTTTTTAAATGCTTTGACTAACTCTGACACAAATTATTGAGATATGATCAACACATCCCTACCTTTTCCCTACCTCCCTTTTATAGGCTTCAGAAAAGAATATGAGATACTGCAGTCCAAGTGAGGTTTGCTCCAACAAAATTAAAATATAGAATTTAGTTTCCATGCTTCTCATTGTTATTCACTTCAATCACTGTTTTTTTTTTCTTTCCATCCACTAACTCTTCTGTCATTTCAGACCCAGCCACTCTCACCTGCGCTGTCTTCCCACCATTCAATCACCTGATCTTCCCTACTTATTTGCACACTTGCATCCACTTTCTTGATTAGCTCCCTCAGTATATATGCTCCCGCTCCTCCAGGAATATAAGTTACACCTAGCCAGATTGTCTTCACACTCTCTGCTTCAGCTCTCAAGTGCTAAATTTGAGCCATGACATTATGTGTTTCTGTCAAGTGCTGAGAAGTTTATGGAGCTTAGTAATGTTTATGGTATGTTTTATAACAGAAATACTAAGAACAGTAGGTGATACTGCGTTTTTAGTGGACTCAGACTAAAGCCATCATTCAACAACATTATTCCTATGAGTGCTCTAAGCTTCTACCTATAAATATTTTTCAAAGAATGAAGATCTCATCAACTGATGATGGGAATACTGAATCTGCGACCAAGAAGATCAGGCGAAATTTATTAGTTTATTGGTATTGTTGTGGTTGCCTGACACATCTAATAAAACGGCAAGATGGATGTGTTTTTGACTCGCAGCGAGCTCATAACTTAAGCTGACACGTCTACTTTCAAACAGAGACAACAGTTATAAATATGCATCAAGCAGAGGGGAGAAAAATCATAAATATTCATTGTTGAGTTAACATATCATGAGTGCTCAGTCGTTCACATTTGCACTGCAAGCCACGAATGTTCCCCGAGCATGAATCCTGCCAACCCTGTTGCTTATCTGCTCTTTCTAGTTGAGAACGAAGAGGTGAGAATGTGTGTGTGAACTCGCTCACATGGGAAATGAACCGACAAATCAGGATGAAATGAAAATCAAACGAGAGGAGGTTGACTGAGAAAGGCAATTACCTTTAATGAACAACATTTGTCCCCAGCACACAGTCTCAATCAGATCATCCCTCCTCCTCTCAGTCTCTATTTCGGCTCTACCTCTACGTTCCTGTCACCGTCCCTGTGCTTCCTCTCCCATTTTCCTCCTTCTCCAAGTCTCGCAGTGCCCTCCTCCCTCTTCCCTGTCATCGTCCCTCTGCTGTCGTGCGATTGTTGATCTCCCCGGAGGGACTGCGGGATGCTGGAGGAGTACGACAGTAACAGGTGTCTCATTACTGTGCTAATAGCGGGCCACAGGGAGACGTACACACACATATATTTTTTACAGTGACAAGCAGTGGCAAAGATGTTAACTCCTCCACATTCCTCACGTTCTTGTGCTCTCTCAGTCATTTCATGGCTGAATTACCAGGCATGAATAATTTTTAACGTGTCGATTGCCTAGAGCCAAAATCTATCTTGAGACGAATGCCCACACGACTGCCACCCATTATCAAACCTTCCATTTAACACCAGTGTAAGATTTACTTGAAAGTTGAAGCTCTAAGCTATGAAATGATGTTTTTTTCCACCCACGTTTTTTTTTTTTTTCTTTTTTTGGGGAGGTGGGGGAATCACCTCAAACTCTCTCTCTTCTATTTTACTGCCGCATCAGAAGAAACCCTGACATCAAAATGGGCTGTAAAGATAATTGATAACGCCATTAAACCATCACTTAAAGAGACTAGCCTCTCCTCTTGACCTGGATCCTGTTTACAGTACGGAAGGATCCAGTGAGCTCATTAAACTGCCTCTCTGCCGCAGTAACGATCTCTCATTCATCAGCTGGAGACTTAGTTCGGTGCGCATAACACACAATTGCACAAACAATCTTCCACACTTAAACAAATCCCAATGAGGCATGTAACTGGTAGTTTGTGCCTGGCTGTATGCTTGTTAGAGAGATATCAGCTGCTTAAATTGTGTTTCTCTGTATTACTGTGAGCAAAAGAGAATGCAAGTGCTGTTCATGTGCGCTTGTGTGCCTCCGGTTTCCACTGGATCCATGTTTATGTGCATTGGCAGTTGCCGGGGTGCATGCGTGTTGGTATCCGTGCTCGTGTTCCGCAATATCAGATAACAAAGTGTGTTTATGTTGCAGGTGCAGGCTGAAAATGAAACCATTATCAAAGAAGAATATCCTGCTGCAATGTATGAATAAATCAACGACAGGAGAAGCAATGTGTGTAACCCATGGATGTACCAGGAGAGCTCTTTCTTCATACATCCAAGGTGTGAACTCGGCTGCGCTACTTTATGCAAGTGATTTGTTGTATTCGCCAATCCAGAGCACATCAAGAGCACACATACTTTTAGTGGATATTACATCCTGACAGTTTGAGGGTTTTGCAAGCTACCAGGGGTTACTTTTTGTGTACATGTTTTGTGTGTGCATCTACGCGTGTGTGATTCATTGCATGAAGCTCATGGGTCATTACCCAGTCAGTCTGAGGACACAAGAGGCCATTATCCAAGGGAGTCTGCACACTAAATGTTTGATAAGCCTCGAAAGCGGATGTCCTGTTTTTCTTCTCATATATTACACGTGTAAACAGCCACCAATTAAAATCGGTCAAATCTACATGTACTACAGAAACAACATTTTGGTTGACTGGGATTGCATTTATGCTCATCAAGACAGTCGGATCTAAAAAAAAAATAGAAAAAGAAAAAGAAAAAAAAATCTCCAATGTATGTTTGGTGCAGTCTGTAGCAGAGAGAGGAGTGTGAATGTGTTGGCTCAGCAAAGTCCTGAGAGATGTCGAGCTGGCAGAGATGAGTCATGTAGCAATCTGATTAGCTTCCCCTCTCCTTCCTCTCCATCAAAGCCAAAGTTTGTCATATTCATTCAATATGTATCTCTGCACTGCACCATATTCAGTTCAAAACTGAACTCAAATAGGTGCAAAAAAAAAATCGCTAAAACAATTTATGGAGTTCTCTATTTATTATCAAAATACCTGTAAAGGATATACAAAAAATCCTTTAAAAATATCAGCAACATACTTGTGCTTGACATGAAAGCCGTTTGCACATTACCATTGCAATACTATAACCGTATTGTCAGTGTGGCAACAGTTGTGACAGTTCGTGTAAATACTGGTACTGAATAGCAGAGGAAAACATTACCCAGCTGACATTCCTCTGAGGAGATCTCTATAGTGTTCAGTGCAGTTTCCAAGTGTGGAGTACTCTGCTGAAGTGCTGTAGGATTGCCAGAACTGCCTCTGTACACATCCATCCACGGATGATTGTCATAAAATGTTACACATCCTGGTGGTTTCTGAGAACTGTAATCTGATAGGCAGGGAGTCTTCTGGCAGCTTGGGGATTCCATCCAGGACCTCCAGCTTTGGCAAACAAGAGAAAACACTGCAGACAGAGACACAGAATGATGAAGATGAAGAAAAAGGATGTCCTCTACTTTACGTATTTATACATCCCCACTCCTTATATCTGAGCCTTCTCACCGTGCACGGTAGTCCTGAGTGAAGGCCACTGGGTTGCGGGTCAGGTTCAGGGAGCGCAGTGGGCTGTTCCCCAGAGCTCCCAGTCCCCCTAGGGAGCTGATGGCATTCTCAGACAGACAAAGATGCTCCACTGCTGGGAGCTTTGGCAGCTGACGCAGACACACCAGGTGGTTT